GCTGGACCCCACAGCACACAGTATTTGTTACAATGTTCCTTAAACTGCAGGCTCAGAGGCCTGCAGCCGCAGGCAGGGAACGTTGGTTTCCTCCATCACTGAGGCAAGCAAGGCTCATGTTAGTTTCAAGCTGCCTGGCTGCTGGCCGCCATCTTGGCTAGCAGTTAATTTGCATATCTCGCTGATTAGCCAATGGGAAGGGTAGCAGTCATACGCCAATTTCCATGTTTCTCTTTTATTAGATAGGATATTTTAATTTTAGAGAGAGGAAAGGAGAGGGGGAGAGAAGGAAACATTGACTGGTTGCCTCCTGGCTGCACCCTGACTGGGACTAAACCTGCAACCTGGGCATGTGCCCCGACTGGGAATTGAACCAAACCTGAGACCCCTTGGTGCACAGATGATGCTCAACCAACTAAGCCACACCGGCCAGGGCAACATGCACATTTCTGTTAACTAGTCTCTAAGTTATGGAATTAACATTTGGACATTTGAAATTTGCTTGTTTTTCAATCTTTTCAGAGGTGATTTTGCAGTTTGAGATTGTCACCTTTGATGGTAAAAGAATGGCTCAGAGGCTAGAGTAATCGTGGACTTTAGTATAACTATGACGGGGTAACCAGTGTATATCGAGAAGATTGACTAGCTACAGTAGGAGGAAATTGTGAAGGAATGGGAAGTATTTTGGATTGATAGGGAGTTTTTAATTCATTTAAACAAAAGATACATTTTGAGTGCCTGTTCTTTGGTGGTGAGTACACAGATTAAGATATAGGTGCTTCTCCCTGACCGGTTTGGCTTAGTGGATAGAGCGTCAGCCTGAGGACGCAAGGGTCCCAGGTTCGATTCCAGTCAAGGGCATGTACCTTGGTTGCGGGCACATCCCCAGTGGGGAGTGTGCAGGAGGCAGCTGATAAATGTTTCTCTCTCATTGATGTTTCTAACTCTCTATCCCTCTCCCTTGCTCTCTGTAAAAAATCAATAAAATATATTTTTAAAAAAAGATTAGGTACTTCAAGGTGTTCAAGCTAGGAAATAGGCAGAGTATTAAGTGCTGTGATGGGGGCTGGGGAGGTGGGGTTTATTATGGGAGCCATTGCAGTTTTTTGTGTGAGGGACTGAAGTGGTAGATTAGGATACAAGTCTGGCCAACTTAGAATGTCAAGGAGGAAGACTAAAGGCAAAGATTCTAGTTAAGAACCTGCTATAGTCCTAGCTTGTTTGGCATAGTGGATAGAGCATTGGCCTGTGGACTGAAGGGTCCTGGGTTCGATTCCCAGTAGGGAGCATGCAGGAAGGCAGCTGGTCAATGATTCTCTCTCATCATTGATATTTCTATCTCCCTCTCTTTTTGTCTCTGAAATTAATAAAAATACATTTAAAAAATATATATTTCCACAAGAAGTTGTGGAATCTTGTATGCCATTTAGAAGCAAGGAAACTTATTCACCATGTAGGATTATTTAAATTGTAGTTATTCTAGCCCTAGCATTCAAGTACAGTTTTGTTATAGCATGTTTTTTAAATAATGTGAACTAGTTCACAACTAATTGCTAAATAGGGCAGTGATGTCAGTAGAACCCAGAAGTCCCATTGGTTGATATGCAGTTTTCCCCAACACATTAACACCCATTTCCTACAGTTTTATAATAGTTAACTGGAGGAATACATGTGTTTATGTCAGAAATAAGAAGCTGTGTCATATATTGATAGGATCGCTCAGGAGTAGAAACAGGAAGTTACTGCAGTCATCTGGGAAATAGGAAGTAGGTGGAGGCTTGGACCAAACTAGGCCATAATGAACATTATGAAAGCCTACCTTCCTAGAAAAACACATGTACACAGGAGGTGTGCACAAGAATGTTTATCGAAGCATTGCTTTAATAGTGAATAACGAGGCCCTGTCCTGGTAGCTCAGTTGGTGAGAGCATTGTCCTAATACGCCAAGGTTGCAGGTTCGATCTCTGGTCAGGGCACTTATAAGAAGCAACCAGTGAATGCATGGATGAGTGGAACAGCAGATCAATGTTTGTCTCTCAAATCAATTAAAAAAAATTTTTTTGAAGTGAATGACTAGAATACCCCATCAATAGATTGGATAAACTATGCAGTTTGAATTAAGTTACTAGCCAAAGAGAAATGTCATATATACAGATGAATATGAGTCGAGTTATATAAGCTAGAGATACAAATTTGGCAGTCATTAGGATGTAGATGCTGCTATAAGGCCACAGGACTGGATAAAATTACTAAGGCAGTAAGTATAAATAGAAAAGAGCTCAGAGAAGTGAGCCCTGGGAGACTATCATGTAGTTTGGGGAAAGGAGGAAGAACTATCTAAAGAAACTTGAGAAAATGATTTTCTGAAACAAGTGTTTTCAGGAGACAGAAATTAATTGTATCAAATACTGATAGGAAGGATGAGAGTTCCATTTAACAACATGGAAATTCTTGGCAAGAGTTTCAGTGGAATGTTGGAATTGAAGGCCTGATTAGAATGCTTTTAGAGAAATTGGGAAGAGGAAAATTGAAGAACTTCAAACTCCCACCACCACATCTACTTACCTAACTCTTCTTGTGCCAATATGTTACTTTTTCTCCTGTTACTATGAAGAGCTGTCTATGCCTCTGGTTGAAGCCAACCCCTTCTATTGTGTATTTGATTCTGTCTTCACTAAATCTCCCCTTCCTCTCCTACATCATCAGTTATTTTCTTTCTACTGCACCATTCTGGTCAGCATATAAACAAGCTGATATCTTTCCTGTTAAAAAAAAAATCTCTTGACCCAACTTTCTCCTTTAGCTACTGCCCACATTTTCTTCCCTTTACAGAAAAATTCTTTGAAAGGACTGTTCAGGTGCAGGCATGGAATAAGCAGATTTAATCAAGTTGTGGTTAAGCCATGTGAGGATGATGAAGAGATAAAGAAACAAGCAAGTTAAAATGGTATGCAAGTGTGTAACTTAAGCTGCTTAAGCGTGGGAAACCGCCTCTAGTCTTCTCTAGCAGAGAGGTGTAGACAAGGAGCCAGGAAGGCTGGTGACCCTTGAAGCCCTGGCAAAGGTCAGAGCTATGCACCCACTGTTTAGTCCAGACAATGGTAGCTGAAGCAAATTCCCCACCAGATAGTCATGTAAATCCTTACTGATAAGATATTCTGTCTTTTACTGGAACTTGCCTGCCTATGGGCTATGGGTGGATCCCAAACTGAATAAAAAGATGGTGAGGCCTGAGCACAAGCGGAGTCCATCCTCTTGGCATGGGCTCTCGCCTGGCCCCCCCAATTCCCAAATTATTTCTTGTCTCGTCTCTTTCATTTGTGTGCGGCCCTCTTCCAGATCCTGAACCCTGAACCACGTGCGACGTGGGGGAACATACATACTTAAGAGAAAACTTGAGAGGAGTGAGAGATGTGAAAAGGGGGTGGTAGCAATGAACAAAAGCTCCCCATGAAGGTCAAGGAATCATTGGAAATAGGGTCCTCAAGCTGGAAAGAGGTGTTAGTGTTGGAGAGTGGGGTGTTGAGATCATAGAAGAGTCTGAGTTATTGCTAATGACCAATTCAAGGTTATGACCAAAGTTGTAGCTGAGACAGAATAGGAAAAACTATTGAGTCTTTCAGTTCAGCCGACATACTGAGAGGCAAGACACTGTAAGCATCATCTGTATGGGCATTGAAATCACAAGAAATATACTGGAGTAGTATTGTAGAGAGAGTAAGACAGGAACTAAGTTCTTAAAGGAACAATGGGGAATTGGGACTGTACAGTAGATAACTGCAGTAAGAAGTACGCTGGTAGCAGAAGCCCTATCTGATGGCATGTTTTTTATAGGGAGCAAAATTCAGGCCTAGTATTGCCAGATATTTTGATATTTTGCAAGAGGAAACTGGATTTTTATGTGAAAAAGACTTAAAATACTAGCTGTGTGTGTGTGTTGTTTTTAAATACTGTGCAGGCCAAATAAACTGTGTCATGCTTTGGCTGTTTTGGCTCAGTGGATAAAGCACAAGTTCACAAATTGAAGGGACCTGGGTTTAATTTCTGTCAGAGGCATGTAACTAGGTTGCAGGCTCCCTCCCCAGCTCACGTTGATGTTTCTGTCTCACCCTCTCCCTTCCACTCTCTAAAAATCAATGGAAAAAGATCCTTGGGTGAGGATTAACAACAAAACAAAATGTCAGAGACTGAATTTAGCCATTGTCACAATTTTATGAACTCTGCTTTTAAAATAGAAACTACTGCCCTAACCAGTTTGGCTCAGTGGATAGAGCGTCGGCCTGGGGACTGAAGGGTCCCAGGTTCGATTCCAGCCAAGGGCATGTACCCTGGTTGCCGGCATATCCCCAGCTGGAGGTGTGCAGGAGGCAGCTGATTGATGTTTCTCTCACATCGATGTTTCTAACTATCACTCTCCCTTCTTCTCTGTAAAAAAAAAATCAATAAAATATATTTAAAAAATAAAATAGAAACTACTAAGGTGCCCTGGCCAGCTTGGCTCAGTGGATAGAGCGTCGGCCTGCGGACTGAAGGGTCCCAGGTTTGATTCCAGCCAAGGGCACATGCCTGCGTTGCGAGCTGGATCCCCCGTAGGGGGCGTGCAGAGGCAGCCGTTCAGTGTTTCTCATCATCGATGTTTCTATCTCTTTCTCCTCCCTTCCTCTCTGAAATCAGTAAAGAAATATATTTAAAAAAAAAAAAAGCTACTAAGGTGTGTGAGTCCACGGTTGTCAAACTGGCTGGCTGGCTGCCTTGCCATAGTTCAGTCTGCAGGTGTAAAGAGGGACTGTACAAGCTGATCACCAAGCAGCACTTGAAGTACCTGGCAGTTTGTCACTTGCCTAATTGATTACTGCTCAAACAGATTTTATTTCACCCCATATTTGTTTACTTCAGTTCTAACCCTGATAACGGAATTGCTTTTGAAGAGAAACACACCTAACCTTTTATGGCCAGAACTTCCATTAAAGTAGACCTCATACAATAAAAGAAATAGGGGAAATTTTGAAGGTTCTTTAAGCCTTAAAAAAAAAAAAAAGGCTAGTTAATTCCTAAACAAATTTTACTGTTATAAAATATTTAATGTTTCTTCAAAATCTTCATTTTCCTTTAGTCATACTGATGACTGAGAATATTTTTTGTATTAAAGTAGAAGTCCTCAAGATGGTGTTTGACTGTATTTGAACTTGGGCAGGGCCGCAACACTCCCTAGACTTAGTTTCCTTATCTGTAAAACAGATTAAAAATACATGCCCTACCTACTTTGATTAGGATCAAATGAGAGTGTGAAAAGGTTACATCTTGACTTTGTATGGGTGCTTTGTGTCATACAGTATACTATTAAAGAATAACAACTTGCCTAAAGCTAGTGAGCTGCTTTCTCTGTTTAGAGAAAATAGTTTAGATTAGAATATACTTAAAATTTAGGAAACCCTGGGAATATGAGTGGGTATATAATCTGCTTCCAAAAGCAACTTTCCTATTGAAAGATGACACTGGGTATCACTGTGTGAGGTACTGGCTGAAAAGTATCCTCTCCAGGTCTGAGAGCATGACTGGTACTGTGGTTAAAATCCTGTTCATTCAGGAGACACTTGATATACACACTTTCTTTGGGCCTCCCATCACCTTCCCTTGCTTTCTCACCCTGTACTCATTTTTTTTTCCTCACCAAAATGAACAATTATCACTTGATTTATAGTTAATGTAGTGAGTCTCTGCTAGCAGCATTTAATACACACTCAAAAGAACAAGTCTTAACTGAGAAATACAGGATGCCTCATTTTCATGGTAATTTTTTAAGTCCCAGTGATGAAAACTAAGGCAGCTTCCTCAAAGGAAGTGACATTGATGAATCCAGTGCAGCCAGTGTGCTGAATCTGAGGAGACAAAGTCTTTATAACGTCCAACTAGACTGTCTTGTGACTTAGTCTGAGTCTTTTGGAACAGTTACTCCTTCTTGTTAGTTGTATGGTTGTTATACAGCCATGGAAGGAACAAGCTGAATGTCAAAATCATCAACAATATACCTGGAAGATAAAACACAATAAAATAAAAACAAATCTCTAAAATTCATAATCAACAAGTAGGTATAACTTAAGATTATATGTACAATTACATACCAAGAGATTGGAAAGCAATGTTTAAAAGAATTAGCTACATCAATTATACATAAAATGTAGATCATTTCTAAATCTAATATTCTTGCATTATTCTTCTTCAACCATGAACCCTTAAAAACAATATGTACTTGGTAAAACCAGTAAGATCTAAACATAGAGGATAAACCAAACCTGAATAGTTGGAGTTCTAGTTCTGACTCCATTACTGACTTGCTGAGCGAGAACCTCTGGACTTGGGTCTCCATTTGCTCTTTAAAATGGCAACACTGGAGATTGGGAACCAAGATGGCGGCATAGGTTAACGCCGGAGTTTGCTGCCTCGAACAACCACTTCAAAAATACAATTAAAAGACGGAACGGACATCACCCAGAACCACAGGAAAGCTGGCTGAGGGAAAATTCTTCAACTAGAAGGAAAAAGAACAGCATACTGAGGC